ATGATCAGTTCTATAACCTGCAGTGATTTTTGGCTGTGTGGCAAAAGAATAGAGTCTTTCTGAGATGAGGAAGAAATCTAATCTTGCTTGTTTTAAGGGTGACTTTTTACGCCAAGTAAACCTTTTGATTTCTGGATTGAAATCTCTCCACACATCTACCAAATCAAAATCACCAATTAATTTTAATACTTTTTCACGAGCACGAGGGTTATTGATATTCTGGTAATTATGAACATCTAGTGACTCATTCAAAACAAGATTCCAATCTGCAGCTAAAATATAATCCTCATTTCCCATGACACGAGCTTGCTCTTTAACCTGCTCATAGAATTCTGGTGAGTCTAAATTGGGACCATAAATATTCACATGTGTTACCCGTTGATCACTAATAGTTATATCTAATATAAGTAAGTTACCATTGTCATCCATGTAAGTCCTATGATTCTAATAGTCCACATTTTTGTTAAACAAAATCGCAACACCCCTGGACTGGCTGTTTTTGGAATTGAAGATGCAATCAAATCCGCACTGTGATCTTATAATTGGTTCTTGTTCTTTTGTAAAATGTGTATCCTGTAGTAGATAAAATGAGTATGCTTTATATCGTAAAAAGTTAAAAACATCCTTTCTCTTGGCATTATCTTGCAGTCCCCTACAGTTCATAGAGCAGCAGGTAAAACCTAAGTTAGCCATTGTCAATTAAAGATTTGTTCACATACACAGGCCATATGAAAGATTGAATTTACACATTTTCTACACATACATACACTTTCACAGCTATCTGAAGGAAAAGCTTTAAAACCAAGTAAAGCATCGTATGATACAAACTGGCACCATGTGGCTACCACCAGAAAAAAGGGGTAAAATCTTCACCCAAAAGTATCAGTGGCATATAACAGAAAAGACCAGGAGCAAAAATAGCTGTCATAATGATAAGTAAGAAGCACACAAGTGTCAAACCAACACACAACTAAATACTGTCCAATGTGAAGCTAACATCCCACATTCACAGTTACTAGTGATTCGGCTGAATATTCACTTGACCCATATCACTATAAACTAAATTAGGCTGTGGCATACAGCGAGTAGGCACTAACATAGTAATAAAGAGAAAAGTAGAAAATAACCAAACCAACACACTGTCCGATATGTAATTTACGAGTTTTACACACTTACAAGTTCTCTATTGATCAAAAGTTTAACTGATGAACTAATGATTCAATGCATATAAGACTTATATCTGATATTATGTAAATAAGTCTTATCATTATTATCTCATACAGTAATTCTACAGTATACTAGTTTGTTTTTTAATAGATATCTCCAGTTTTTTGTGTTTGTTTTTTTTCATAACGAAACAAAGTGACAATGGATCTTCACATGTCCCAGAGCGAGATCAACAAACCCGAACATGTTGATGTTCACTAAAATAAAGTTAACACTTATTTGTGATTTATAATAAACAAAATAAAAATTGTGCGAGAGAATGGGTCACTCATCATCAGTAATTCTACAGTGTATTCGTTATTTTAAGCTCACCTCCCAAAAAGCGGTTATCTCATTTTATTTTTCACAACTTATCCATGAAAGAAATATTATAAGAATATCGTCCTTTCCAAGAGTCCTGCGGGCCGCCATTTTGAATGGTCACGTGACAGACGTACCCACCTTGGTCATGTGATGTGCAAAATACCAATGTAAAAAGTTCTAGGAAGCGTCTCCGGTAACACTGTGAAACAACGTGACAGTGGATCTTCACATGTCCGAGAGCGAGATCAAGAAACCCAAACATGTTGATCTGCACTTAAATAAAGTTTACACTAGATTTGTGTTTAAAACAAACAAATAAAACATTGATCGAGAAAATGGGTCACTCATCATCACAGACATTGACTTTAGCTAGGTTAGATTCTTGGTTCCTCGTCCTCTTTGAGAGTTTTCCATGTGCTCCTGGCATCCTTTCTGTAATACAGGGTAACAACAATCCCCTTTTCGCGAACCTTTGCATGTAGTTGTTGTTTACGTAGTTCAGCGGCTTTTCGTACCAGGCGGCCACAAAGTTTTTTAAAGTCGACAGGCAGGTCTGTACGAACACTGAGCCGGTCTTGCGCCAATTCCCTCCCCACAGAATAGGTAGTCTTCAAAATGAGATCTCTGTCCTCCATGCGCACGAATTTAATGATGATAGGATTAGGTTCTTCGCTTGGTGTGAATCGAGGGAGTCTGTGAATATTCAGAAACAACATGTTGTCCACCGCATGTGAATCCAGGTGTAATTATCCCCCGCCCCAACAAAATTGGCGGGGGATATAGAAATGGGTTCCGTCCGTGTGTGTGCGTGTGTGTGTGTGCGTGTGCGTGTGCGTGTGCGTGTGTGTGTGCGTGTGTGCGTCCCGAAATCGTTTCCGGAGCATAACTCAGAAACCGTTAAATATTTCTCTACAAAACTTTGCAAGTCTATCAGACTCATGCTGAACTGGTGCCTTTTGATATTTAAGAATTTTATAAATTTTTATTTTTTACGTTTCCATGGCAACAAGTTGGATTTAAGTTCTATAAAGATGCTGTTCGTTTCCGTAGCGCAACTCAAAAACCGTTAAATAATTTCTTACAAAACTTTGCATGTTCACCAGACACATACTGAACTGGTGCCTTTTGCTATTTAGGAGTTTTATAAATTTTTATTTTTTATGTTTCCATGGCAACAAGTTGGACTTAGGTTCTATAAGGGTGGTGTTCGTTTAAGGGTGGTGTTCGTTTCAGGAGCGTAACTCAAAAACCATTAAATACTTTCTTATAAAACTTTGCATGTCTACTAGGCACATACTGAACTGGTGCCTTTTGCTATTTAGGAATTTTATAAATTTTTATTTTTTACGTTTCCATTGCAACAAAGGGGACTTAGGTTCTATAAGGGTGCTGTTCATTTCCGGAGCGTAACTCAAAAACCGTTGCATAATTTCTTACAAAACTTTGCATGTTTACCAGACACATACTGAACTGGTGCCTTTTGCTATTTAGGAGTTTTATAACTTTCTATGTTTTACATTTCCATGGCAACAAGTTGGACATAGGTTCTATAAGGGTGCTGTTCGTTTCCGGAGCATAACTCAAAAACTAATAAATCCTTTCTTACAAAACTTTGCATGTCTACTAGGCACATACTGAACTGGTGCCTTTTGCTATTTAGGAATTTTATAAATTTTTATTTTTCACTTTTCCATGGCAATAAGTTGGACTTAGGTTGTACAGGGGTGGTGTTCGTTTCCAGAGTGTAACTCAAAAAACGTTAAATACTTTCTTACAAAACTTTGCATGTCTACCAGGCACATACTGAACTGGTGCCTTTTGATATATAGCACTTTTAGACATTTTTATTGTTTATGTTTCCATGACAACAAGTTGGATTTAAGTTTTAATATAGGATTGGTTTACTTAAGTAGTATAACAAATAAACTGTTAAATATTTCCTTGCCAAACATTGCATGTCTAGATATAAACTGAACTAGTGCCATTTGATATTAAGGAGTTTTAGAAATGTTTATTTTAGAATTTCCATTGCAGCTATTTTGACATGGGCTAACAGAAATGTTTGGTCAGTTACCTGGTTTGGGACCATAACGTGTTAAAATGGGTGGGGGATATAGATGATTTTGTCAACTATACGCTTGTTTATCCTTGAAAATGTTTCTACAGAACTTGTCAACATCTGTGATTGTATTAGGTACACTGTAGATGAGTAAGTTGGATTTACGGGAATACATCTCTGAGATCAGTAGCTTTTCTCTAAGCTTGTCGATTTCGTCACGGAGGCGTTGTTCTCACGCCGCCATTTTGTCACCAAGGTCGTCGATAGATTTCGACATAACTTCCATCGACGAGTCCACTGAAGATACCCGTTTGAACAAGTCAGCCACTTCTTCTTTAACAGAGTCGATCTTGGAACATATCTGACTGGTCTGTTTGTCCAATTCCTCGCGAAGGAATGTTTTCAAGTCGCTGGGTGCAACGTCAGCAGGCGGGGAGGACGAAGGTGAATGTAAGGGCAGAATAACGTCAGAACTTTCCTCCTCATCTGTCAGCTCCGGGCGCAGATACGAGCTGATTTTATGTGTAGCAGTACTGCTGGTGGTAGATTTGTTGTTCTGTTTGTTTGTATTTCGTCTCCCCGCCATGCTTGTGTGAAGATTGAAGTGGATTACCACGAGAGGGCCAGTCGCACATCTTTACGCTTCGAGCTCCATACCGGAAGTCCAACAGACAACTTTATGGATAACAGATTCTGGTTCATTGCATTGAGCGATGTTTCGAGGTAGATACTACATTTGCTGTGTCGATGTAGAATCTACATTGAAACATAGCTATATGCAATAAATTAGAAGTTGTTATCCATAAAGTTTTACGTTTTCTTACTTACTCACTAACTTCTAGAATGCCAATCAAACACTTTCTCTGCAATTAATAGTTGCCCTTATTTATGTTGAGAGATACTTTTATTTCACTATTGGTATCTAATCTCAGTGGGCAGATTGCTTCTGTACCCAAAACTTTCAAGTCTACTTTCCTGACATAAACCCTAAATACATGTTTTCAACAGATTTTTTTAAAACTTATGTACTATTACCTCTCCTTTATCAGCCAAAAATATCTGGGTTTCAGGCAAGAGATTATGGTCAGCCAACCATGTAGCCTAATCCCTGTGTGAGCGAGTTGTGTTTTATGCCTTTTTGAACAGCATTTTAGCTATGTATTGGAATGTAAGCTAAATGTGGAAAGAAAGCCCCAAGTGATGCAGGTCTTAGACATTTACCACTTTGGTGAAACCCACATGGTGCCAACAAACTAAGAGTCATAATAAAGGCAAATCTATGATTGAACATGATTATAGAATGTCTCAGACGATTATGCCATAAGACCACTAGAAGAGAATTGTTTTGGGATTTATTAGGCCAAGCTCTTGTGTCGTCTTGAGTTTTAATTGTCCAATTGATATATTTCAGCTGCTGTTGTGGAGAGCACTATATTCTGTATGCATGGAGGATTATCTCCCGATCTCTCAGATCTACAACAGGTAGGTGCAAGTTGGAGTCATGAACATGGTGAGCTTTCAAATGTATAGATAACCTCCATTCTGCAGTTTCCATAACGGCAAACACAAGTTGAAATTCTTTTATATCACCAAGGTGTGTTATAACCATTCCGTTCAAATGGGTAGGAGGGGTTGGATATTATGTATGGAGAACAATTAATAGTTCTAAATCAAATGCACAGTCTGTGCCAAAACCTTTTGCGGATGCTGTCCTGATAATGGTTCTTAGCATCAGTTTCAGAAGGTTTTAGTAATTTTATATGGATTATGTTTCGGTGAGCTTACTAGACTCGGACAAACAGCTAAGGTTAAAGACTGAAACAATTGTAGAAGATTCGAAGTTATTATTTAACAGATTAAATCATGACATAGTAATAGAAGATATGGCAGCTGACATGAATAGATATCATTGTAATAACCCTTTGTCGCTTCAAGTTGACATGGTATCTTCACCCTGAATACAACTGGGAAATCTTGGATATCAACTTTGGAATCTTTTATCATCCTGCTCAGCCTTATGGCATGGACACAAATAGATGATTTGCTAAACATGGTTATCGACTTAGAACAAGATTAACAAGATTGTGGAGTTGGGAGTACATATCAGGAGAGAAGTGATTTGTCTGCTGATATGTATATATCTGTAACTCCAGATATTAAAAGATGAAAAGTGCAAAAGGGTAAACCTAATGCAGCCTATAACATTTGTGACACTGTTTACCGGAAAGTGAATTTTCAGCAGTGAGCATCATCAGATCTTTCAAGACGTTATATATAATTCTTTATCATGGAACATTAATTGATTGACATTGTGTAGGATTCTTCCTGCAAACTACTACTGGATATCAATGTTTGAATCTTTCATTATCCTGCTCAGCCTTATGTCATGAACACAGGATAGATGATTTGCTGAACATTTATTCAATCATATTTTGTTTTAATCAGAAACTGAATATTACCGTTTGAAAACTCTGATTGATCAATCAAACTCAAAAACAGTCAAACACTGTTGTGCTGAACTTTGATGTGTCGACCTTGTGATTCATTTGAAGTAAAAGCTTGCTCCTGATGGTACAGCTTCTGTTTTCCATCCTCCATAGACCGAAAGCTCTTTATCAATGCTTTACTGAGCCTTGTCTTTGTTCAGTTCTTTTATCGAGTTCCATATACAGATCCAGAGGATGGGTGAAAGGGTTTGCATTCATCTAGGGCATTGGAAGCTTTCAGAACACCCTCCCCTTCCTAAAACGCTGTATCCATGCTTGTAATATGTCCAATCCTATGCATAGGTGTATCCTTCGTGATAAGGCAATATGTCAGCATTCTTGATGAATCTGAGTTAGGGATGGGGCTTCTGATTGGAATATTCTCCAACATGGTCAAAGAATTGTTTTGCAGTTTAATTCATAAATGTTGGGGGGCGGTCGGGTAGCCTAGTGGTTAAAGCGTTTGCTCGTCACGCCGAAGACCCGGGTTCGATTCCTGACATGGGTACAATGTGTCAAGCCCATTTCTGGTGTCCCCCGCCGTGATATTGCTGGAATATATTGCTAAAAGCGGCGTAAAACCATACTCACTCACTCACTCATAAATGTTGGCCTACAGGAAGCTGTCTTTATAGATTCACTTCTCATCAAGAATGTCAGGGCATGTTATGTACTGGTTCTGTTTGTTGGTTTCAGATAAAGGACATTGAACGTCCAATTGATGTTCCAGATCATGGTCTGGTTTGTGATCTGCTTTGGTCAGACCCTGATGAGGTGAGGGAAAGAGATGTGTGTGTTGGTTTGTCCAGTGTTAGTATTGGGTGACATTGTTATGTGTTAGACCAATATGTCATAAATAAATGTCTGTATATTATTACTATGAATAAAAATTGTGTCTGTTCTGTCCGTTTTCCCCGTTATTGGAAAAGAACTCCCATACTATTGAATATTTCTAGGGTCAACTGCAGTGTTTGGGTCCCCACATCGGGGGTTTCCGTACGGAAACTGTCTTTGAAGGCAGCTCTGCTCTTATATGTAAGCGCGGACCCTAAAATGAGCTGGATGTGAAAAGTATATTTTACGAGAGTTTTACGATAGAAAGTAAAGCCGATTTATCATGGTGTCGACATTATGGGCGGAACATAAATGACGTCTGCAGTTCAGTATTTTCTTACACAGAGAACACATTGGGTTTCCATAAGGAAACCGCTACCTTTGGCAGCTCTGCTTATATATAAGTTCGCTTGCGCCAGCGTGCCAAAATCCGCTAGGAGGCATTTTTGAGCAAAAAGGAAAGGACTTCAATGAAAATGAGACCAGTGGTCATTTCTGGAGCAGAACTCCAAAACCGTTGAATATTTCTTGATGAAAGTTGCTATACAGAGCAGTCTAGTGGTGAACTGGTGCTTTTTGATGATTTGGGATACTAAAAAATACTGAACAGCATTATGTTTTTCTTCACTGAACTAAAGGTAACCAAAAGTGGGGTTTTCATAGCCAAACTCAATTCCAAATTGCATTGAGTTAAAATTTAACATCACATCTGCAATATCTCAGCCATTAAGTGATTGAGGCAAGATAAGTCACAACACAAACAAGATAGAAGGGAAATCTAAGAGGCTTCGTCTTTAAAGATTTTTATCCTGAAAATACATATCAAATGAGAAAATGCCATTATTGACCTTATATATCCAAACCATTGTCAAGCATAGCAACTTAGTTTGGATTGCTGAATTACTTTGTATATATATTTATCATATTTGTAGCATTCGTAATTGGTGATGGTTTTCTTTATTGATAACCAGGTTTGATTTCAATGGTCAAATGAAGACTTGTCACATTCTTATTTTTGTTACCTATATGTATCCCATGTTGTAGGATATCACTGGCTGGGGAGAGAATGATAGAGGTGTGTCCTACACGTTTGGAGGGGATGTAGTCAAGGACTTTCTGAAAAAGTTTGACTGTAGTCTCATTGTCAGGGCTCACCAGGTAAGACTTTCCACCACACAGGTGTGGCAGTTCAGATGGACTGATCAGTGGCTGCAGAGGCTCACATTGTTGATACAGTGCTATATTGAAGTATGTTATAAGGCTGTTTAAACAATACATTAATTTCCAAGGAATACGTCATGATACAATGCCGCCTCCGTGGTCTTGTGGTAGAGCGGAAGGTCCGGGGTTCGATCCCCGGCCGCGTCATACCAAAAGACGTTAAAAGATGGTACTTGTTGTTACCCTGTCTGGCGCTCGACATTAAGGGGCGTAAACAAGGACTGGTCGGCTCGGAGTCCGTATACTGTGTCTGAGTGGGGTATTCATGTTAAACTGCGGCATGGTATCTCAGTGAGCTAGCACTATAAATCGGCATCAGTCCGGACTAGTACAAGCAGCTACACACACACACGTGCATGCACGTCGCTATATAAGTGCAATAATCTTGGACGCGACGTTAAACCCAATTTCACCTCACCTCACCATCATGATACAAAAATTATTTTGAAGTGGAAGTCACAAGTGTGAATAATATGTGAAAATTTGAAAATTATTAAATGGATTTTAATAGTTAATATAACTTTGATAGTTTGACCATATGAGTTATTTTCAAGCTGTTTGTTACTTAACTCATTGGAAATTCCGAGTTAGAATTGGTCCCTAGCAACCTATGCATGTCATTAAGAGGCATCTCAATGGATCACGCGGTCAGACTTGATTGATTGCATGTCATTGTACCCAGGATTCAAAATTGCAATAGGTCCGCTTGTCAGAGACTAGTAAAATTCAGGAAGGACAAAAGATATTTACTTGGAGACAATCACTTTTCTGTTAGGTATGTGAGAATATTCTTTATCATTTTTAATTGCTCATATCAAGCACTGGTTTGTCCGGTCCAAACTTAACTATTTACAGGCCTATGCCACATATCTTGAATACTGCAGTCCAGCGGCAAAGAACAAACAAAATATTTCTTGTGATTTTATCAAAATAGAAAAACATCCTTCAAATTATCAATATCAGTTTAAGGCAACCAGGTCAGAAATGACCTGATTGACTGTCAATTTTTCAGTGTACTTAAGCGCTGCAACTGTTTGATCTATGTTAATTTAGGTTGTCGAAGATGGGTACCAGTTCTTCCAAAAGAGAAAGGTGAGTATGTATGCCACTTATGAAAGTACTTTTACATATGCCATATATGTTATTTTAAACTGAACTAGGCAGTGAAATTGTGTTATGAAATGTTATTTTCAACAGTGATGAAAAAAGTTTCAACTACAATTTCAGTTTCCAATAATGTCACAATGGTGTCTTTAATGAAGGTTCAAGTTCTAGAGATTCCTGGCCAGAAAAAATTGAAATTTATTGAAACCTTAATTGCCTGAATGTCAAACATTTGCCAAACACCCTTCGACAGAAATATTCTGCTTCAAGGGAGATAATCCTGGCAGTAGTGTTTATGGTGTTCTGTCATAATCCTTTCATGTCATAAACCTAAAGATTGATACAGGGACTATGCTGCATGGTCTGGCATCCTTTTCCAGTCAAGGCCTAGACATTCATAACTGTGTGTGTAACTAAGACATTGTCTCTGGATAACTAGGATAAATTAGATTTATATAGATAATTAAATGTGAGTTAGCAGATATAAAGTGTGTCATTTGAAGGCAGAAAGATTGTAGTTCTTCTATAAGGGTTCATTAGCTTAAAATATTAATGTCAACATGTAACAATGGTGACTTAATGTCTAACACTGAGAAGTAGTGATCAGTGATGGTCATAGGGCTTAGGTCAAATGAGGAATTTACTTGCAAAATGAAGTCATGTAGAGTTATATCCCTTTGGTAAGCACAGCTCTATGACTAATCTCCATTTTGTGAAAGAGATTTATTTGCATGTGGCTTAGAAATGCAAATGCAGATAAACATGACTGATTTCAGTATTGTTCAGAGGGACATCCAGATGTTTATAGACTTTAAACTGACAGAAATCAAACAATAGTTATCATTGTGAATAATTCTAAGAATACCACCTCTATCACATCAGTGCCATAAATTCCTGTTTATGCTGAGAACCACACTATAAATTTTTATAAATTTTCAACAGACGTCCACTACACTGCCAATATATCCATAGTTGTGAGGGAAACCCTATCCCTTGCCAGAGGCGCCACTGCGCATGCGCAAGGCGGGAATCTAGTCACTTCTTTCAACCCATACTCTCATCAACTAGATGCAGATATTTGGGGAGGTGGGAGGGATTAATTCCTGATGTGATAGAGGTGGTATTCTTAGAATTATTCACAATGATAACTATTGTTTGATAATTCTTGTGAATACCTCACCTCTATCACATCAGTGCCAGTATACACCAGAGGGACCGGTGGGTTCTGGTATCTAGCATCCCATAGATATTTGGCTAGTGGAGTGGTAAAACCAAGGATTATATGCCAAAAGGGGTCTTAAACGGATGCGTCTAATAGTCTACTTACAAGACTTAGACGTATATAATGTTCAAGGTGTCATGTGAAGGGTATATGTATATTCCCTTGTGATACTTAGACTTTTTGTGACGTCGCTTCCTGTGATGACGTCATCTGTGACGTCACTTCCGGTGATGACGTCATCTGTGACGTCACTTCCGGTGTCACTATTCTCCCGTATCACTTATGACGTGGTTTACCGTTATGCCCTTTTTGGATAGTGATATTTAACGTATCTTAACGTTTCTCCGGTGTGATGACTCCTATGACGTCACTTCCGGTGGTAATACATTAACCTTCCTATCATGTAGATTACCGTATATCACTTAATCCTTCGATCTCTGATTTCAGTGTTGACATTTGCCCTGTTTTACTAACTCAATAGCGCAGTCCAGTAACAAAGTACAACTTACCCTGAGTTCCTGAGGTACTTCTGAAATCTTCACCCCCCCCCCCCCTCTCTTTTCCCTTTCCTGGAAGAGGGAGGGAACAGGTTACTTTATTTGGTAACTATCACCTGGGCGGCCACCAAAGGCCCCAGAGTGTATAGTCCATTTAGATCGGTCTGTATGTCTCGTAAGTAAAAGTTTGAAAAGGTGTTGTGGGACTTCCACTGGCAGCTGGCCACGATTTGTTCGATGGATGCAGTATTCCATGTGGCTAGGCTTGTTGCCAGTGCTCTGATTTCGTGGGGTCTGCAGCTACCCCAAATCGGAGTTGAGATTTGTGCCGTTTTATAGCTATCTGTGATAGCTGTTTTTAGCCATCCCGCTACAGTGCCCTTTGCGATGTCCTTTTCTGACGAGGGCTTGCAAGAGATAAATAGGCGTTTTCTCTGCTTTCTGTGGGGTTGAGTCGCTGTGATAAAATATCTCAAGGCTCTTATGGGGCAAAGCAATCTATCCGGGAAGTCCACACTTTTACTTAAGGCTGGAATTGTGTATTGCCGATGTCCGAGTGGGCCGAAGGTTGACGACTGGTTTTTGGCAATACATTCAGGGAGCGATCTGAACGACACTGATTTCCATTCTTTGGTATGGGTTACAGTGGAGATGTCAATAGCGTGTAGTTCTGACACGCGAGCCGCCGTAGCCATGGCTAAGAGAAAAGCAGTTTTCTTGGAGACTGATAGTAATGTCGCACTACTCATGGGTTCATACGGTGCTTTCATCAATGCCGACAATACTATAGATAGATCCCATTTAGGAAAAGTATGTGGTACTTTTATATCTTCCAGGGCAAAAGACTTCATAAGTCGATTTAGTACTGGATGGGTACCTATAGATAGGTCATCGTGTTGTAATACTGATGACAGGGCTGATCTATATCCTTCGATAGTGCCGTGTCGTAATTTCTTGTCATTTCTGAGATGGAGCAAGAAATCGGCTACTATAGGTATGGTTATATCTCCATGTAACTGTTTTCCTCTTCTCCATTCGATGAACTTGTCCCATCTGTTATTGTATAATGCAGATGAGGTTGGTCTCCATGAGCTAGCCACTCTTCGTGCAGCTGATTCAGAGTAACCGGCTGCTTGCATCTTATGCGAGATAACTTCCAAGCGTGAAGATGGAGGTTGTCGAGGCGGCCGTAAAATATGTCCGTCTTTGGTTGTCTCAATAGGTCGGGACGTACTGGGAGTTTCAGAGGTACTTCTAGCAGCAGTTGTAGGAGTCTCGGAAACCAAGCCCTTTTTGGCCAGGCCGGGGCTATGAGGATTATGACACAGTCCGTTTCCTCTATTTTCCTCAGTACTCTGTCTAGGAGAGCCCATGGGGGAAATGCGTAAGCAAACATTCCGTTCCATTCCATGGAGAGCGCATCGACTTGGAGTGCTAGTGGGTCTGGTACCGGGCTGACATAGACTGGTAGTTTGTTGTTGAGACATGTGGCGAATAGATCTATGTTTGGACTGTCCCATACCTGGGTTATCCACTTGAACACCTCGGGATGTAGTGACCATTCTGTGGGTACTATCTTGTTCTTCCGGGATAGGTAATCTGCTAGTATATTTAGCTTGCCCGGAATGTGTCTTACTTCGATCTTGCAACTCACTGAGTCTACCAAGGCATATAAACGTGTAACCTCCTTCAGTAAAGGCTGAGATCTTGTGCCTCCTTGGTGCTGTATGTAAGCGACCACGGTTGAGTTGTCTGTAGCTATCTTCACTGACGAGTGGTGTAGAAGATCTAGCCAAGCTGTTAATGCTAGATATATTGCTCTCATTTCTAGACAATTGATGTGCAGCTCTTTGTCTTGGGAGGACCATTTCCCTTGAATGGTGACATCGTCCATATGGGCACCCCAACCCTCTCCTGATGCATCTGTGTAGAGTTGATGTAGGGGGGTGGGGTAGTTTAGTGGAATACCTGGCATGACATTTTGACGATCTAGCCACCAAAGGAGTTCTGAGATTCGAACTTCTGGGGGTTGGATTAGTGCTTCCAGCTCTAGGTTCTTGGTGGTGTTCATCCAAATCTGCAAGGACCGCAATTGTAGCCTGCCTCTGTAGGTTAGGTCTTGGATAGATGTGAGCGTGCCTAGGCAAGACATCCACCACCTTCTCGACTTGACGGGCTGATCGAGTGCGCTCGTAATCATGTGCTGTACCCTTGCATATCTGTCCTCTGGGGGTGCGACTATGCCTTTGTCGAGAATAAATCTTGCGCCGATGTAAGTGATGGTCTGTGTGGGTACTAGCTCTGATTTTTGAGAGTGAACCAGGAAACCTAAATGTGTGAGAAGTTGGATGAGACACACTGTGTTTAGACTGAGTTGTGATTTGTCCTGATCGACCGATAGGAAATCGTCTATATATCCGTGCAGCCTTATGAGCTTCATATGGGCGAACCCAATGACGGGATTGGTGATCCTGGTGAATAACCATGGGGCGATGGAAATGCCGAATGGTAGTACTCTGAACTGGTATCTCTGACCGTTGACAGCGAATCGTAGGTATCGACGATGGCTTGGATGGATGGGGACGTGAAGATATGCGTCTTGGAGATCTATGCTTATCATCCAATCTGCTTGTCTTAGGGAATTCTTTAACTTCTTTATAGATTCCATCTGAAATGTGGGTGGTTTTTCCAGGTAATCTTTGTTCAGAGTTTTTAGGTCTATTATTAATCTCATCTCTGAAGAATTCTTCTTCGGTACCAGAAAAACTGGGGAGTAGAATCCGAGGGTGGTGTCTGACTCCTCTAGGGTGCTGATAGCTCCTTTTGTGAGTAATTCTTGTATGGCCACTTCTGCTGCGATGAGCTTGGGTCCTGATAGCTGGAATCGGGGTCCGATAGGATGAATGACTAGTTTTGGTCGTTTTAAGAAGTGAAGTTTGTAGCCTCTTCTTATTACTTCGATTAACCATGAGTCGTCTGTGATGGTCTCCCAGTTGTCTGCGTACTGCATAAGACGGCCCCCGACAGGCCCTGGGATAGGATGAGATTTGAACTTGGGAAGTCTTGAGTCGATGTTTGTAAGGTTGGCTAGTTCGACTGGATTTGGAATAGACTTGTCCTTGGTCTTCCGTAATGCTAAATCGTTGTCCGTAGGGCAGGCGAAGTCGGTAGGATCTGGATGGGTCTGTAGATTTATGGTGAAGTCATCTCCGGAGGGGGCCCCTACGGGAACTGCCTCTTCCTCTGCCAAGTCCTTTCTGTGAAGTGGGAAGATCAGCTTTGGAGCTCTTGTACCTGGGTTGATACGATCTGTTTCTCTGTGTAGAGGCTCGAAAAGAATCCCGGCTGGGCTGTTCACGTCGGGGTCCAGGACTCCGTCGCTGGGGTCGAGTAGCCGCCGGTTGTCTCTGTAACTTGGATGCTAATGAGATGGTGGATTCCTGAAATCTCTGGTTAGTTGAAGAGATAATGGCTTCCTTCACCGACTTCAGTCTACCGTTGAAAATCTGCGATGACGTAATGGGCTGTGACATCATGGATCTCTTTAAGGGGTCTGGCATCACATGATGAACTTGCTGAAGTAAGTGTCTTCTTTGCATGATCAAAAACTGCGATGACATCCATACTTGAGTTGATAGGAGGTCTTCCTGCATCTTCAGTATGTGGTCTAACGAGCTGTGGATAAATCCCGTCTTCTGACTAGTCATCTCCGTGGAAGTGTCTAAGGTAAGATCTTCGCTCTGGTTGCACGGTGGTATGACATGGCGAATACCAGCTGCTAACCAGTTGATGTAAGAACTGGTATTCATCATTTGTCTATTGACCCTATCTAAGCTCTTGATCTTGGACATATCAATGCGCATATTGGGGTTAGGTTTCTTAACCAGATCGAAGTAATCTTCATCAATGCTAGGCTGTAGTGAGAACGGATCATCATGTGTTTTGTAAGCAGATTTTATAAATACAGGTCTCAGTTTCGCACTAGGTCCCGCTGAACAATTCAATTGATTTTCAATTTTCTTGATGACGTCATCCAAATATGACGGAGGGGGAAGCGTATGGTATGGTTCGGTCCCTTTATCGGGTCCCTCATATCCTGCACGTTCAATCAAGGGTTTAACGGGTGTACAGTCCTGATCTGGTTTTAATGTGGGCATTAGTTCATAAAGTTCTGCTAAGATGTCTCTAAGGGAGTAATTGTTTGATCTAAAATCCTCCTCTATAGCAGTGTCCCCATAGCCTGAATGCTCCTGTGTAGATCGGCACCCCCTACTCTGGCTGTGCTGGGAGTGGGTCGTATGGCTGAGGGTATCGTAATCCCGGCCGTCTAATTTACGACAAGCTGTGCGAGAATCACGTGGTCTATAACTGTATGGTGATGTCATATTTCCCTCGCTTTCTTCGCCCGTATAACAGGACTGTGTGGCAGTATGAGAGGGTGCACGCTTAGGATTACTATCCTGATATGCACGAGCTTTGTCAGTGCGTCTATCATAGTGGCTTGACGGTGATTGGTGCGTATTTCTATGCATACTTCGGTGTGAAGACCGTGATCCCTATGGTATGCGTGGTAGGGAGAAGATCTATGAGATTCTCGGTCTCTTAGTATAATTCTCCTACTGTCCTCATAGTCTGATTCATCGTAACCTTGCTTTACATGTCTGCTGTATGAGGGTGTACTGCCATATTCAGCCTTAGATCTCTGTTTACTCTCGTGATCGATCCCTGATTGGCCAAGCCGAGTTTGATTAACTGATTCTTTTAGATCTGAGATTTCTCGAGACATAGATTGCATGCGTGTGTCAATCATAACAGACATAGAATTTGTTATTCTTTCCGTGAACTCATTTACGTTAAAGGGGGAACGCGGCAGAGGGTGAAAGTCGTTAGTTTCTGTCCAAACTCGACGATCGACCGTACCAGACGTTGCCGGATGCAAGTTAGAGGTACTTTCTGATTGACCTGTAACATGCATCTGCTCCTCAACATTATAGGGAGAGTGGGATGAGCGACGTGATCTCTTCTCCTCATAAGGTGAGATGGCGCCCTCGCGCGACACTCGCTTGTCACCCACGTGATTAATTTTTGCCGCCTCGGGCTTAATCACTTGTTTTCTTGATGTAGATGCTCTAGTGACTTTCTTAAAATCGGGATTTTTGATCCATGCCTTGGAGAGCTTGTCAAATTTTTCTTTTGACAGATGCTCGCAATAACTGCACCTTGACTTCTGTGTACAGCTGCTTTTCTTGCATGCGAGACATCTAGGGTGAGGATCCCCCGGAGCTTGGTGTTGTCCACAGCCCGAACAGACAGGTGTCTGCTTATGAGATGAAGATCTCATCCCACAACACCTTTCTTAACTAATTACTTACTAGAGACTCCGATCTTCTATACCCCCGTTCTGCTTGTAGAACTGCTCTTTGCTTGTAATCTATGAAGCTTGAGATGATCTAATGCTTGTAGTGTGGAACGCAATCACGTGTTCGGATGTGCAACAAAAAAAAAAATTTCCTTGTTGTCATCAGGACACACAGGAAAGAAGTGACTAGATTCCCGCCTTGCGCATGCGCAGTGGCGCCTCTGGCAAGGGATAGGGTTTCCCTCACAGCTATGGATATATTGGCAGTGTAGTGGACGTCTGTTGAAAATTTATAAAAATTTATAGTGTGGTTCTCAGCATAAACAGGAATTTATGGCACTGATGTGATAGAGGTGAGGTATTCACAAGAATTACCTATATTTGTATTGCAGCTTGTGACACTGTTCAGTGCTCCAAACTACTGTGGAGAATTTGACAATGCAGCTGGTGTCATGATCGTGTCAGAAGACCTCACATGTGCTTTCAAAATACTTCCTGTGAGTACCAGGTCTACATAATCAATATGACATTGTTTTGGATTCAAACAAACAACATTAACAGCATAATTAATACATGTATTTTCAGCAACTGTACTTACACTTGGGGGACAAGATTGTGTGTGAAAAACCTAAATTTTATTCCATACCTAAAATTTGTGGTCTTAGGAACTATTGTTTACACATGCAATGCATATATTGTGGGAAGTAGTTTCACAGTATCAGCAGACAGATAGGCTAACCTGTCAACGTATTAGGTTATCCATTTCTGATCAGAGAATAATAATTAGATCTGATCATGATTTTAAACAGCATTATGCAAGTTATGATGTACTGCCATGAATATATATATATATATGCAAGTCTAGACTATGCAAGTTTGCAAAGGAACCGGTTTGTTGCATTGTGAACATAGACTCATCCTGACTTCAACACTATTTAATGCCTCGCGAGGGTACATTTTTATTCTGATTGTTGTTAAGGTGAATGTGTGTATACACAAAGGTACCTTGGTCACATTCTGTATTACTTGTGCTGACAACCCCAACAGCGTAGGTATCAGTATTTTACACACTTCATGTACATATTAACTGTTTGATAGGCATTACTTAGAATTCATGTGTAAACTTGGCCTTCTCTCATGAATTTCCAAAGAAAATGTGTACTGGTCATGTCTAAACACCTAGTCTTGGATGAAAATATCAGTTTGGATTTTGTAATATTTGTCTGTCTCCCATTTCAGCCAGAACGAGGGAAAGTGATAGCAGTGAACACAAAAAACAGCAAGAAATAGCACAGGAGTCTTGAAGAGCACTTTCTGTGAGTTCAGTCCTGGGGAGGTGTATCCAACTTGAATCACCTGAGCTGCAAACCCTGAACAGAAAAACATACAGCTCAAGAACAAAGTGTTCTATTGTCATTGAAGTTGATGCTACCACCAGCCGAGTGTTTCCATCCTCCAGGATGGACTCGTGATGTAGACATTGTGACAATGAACTGAAAGCATATTCAAAACTACGCATTTTATATGCATTACTTCTGCCAAAATCTCATGCATTTGCCCAAGTGCTAAAAAATCATTTATTGGGGAATTTACTCACTCAAAGATAAAGTATGTTTGTAAACTTTGTTTTCTCATCCTACACACACAGAAAACCTTTTTTACATAGTTGTGTATTTGATTGTAGTTCAATTTAAAGGTTGAAACCAATTGTTTGTGTGGATGCAAGTGCCAAAATATCTTTTCATGATTTGCATGTCTGGCTATTTTCTTTTCACAATCAATTTGCTTTATCAAAGTACAGTGTCTACTTACACATTTATTGGAATATTACTATGCTGCGACATGTCAGTATGATTCAGATAATAATTTTCAGTCCAAGTGTCTCCTTACCATCACAAAAACAAGTCAACTTTCTGGCTTGATGCACCACACCTATTAAGCATTGTATTATTTTGTAAAACTGACAGACTGAAAATATATCTTGATAACCAAAATGATTTGGAATTATGGCTATTGTTATTATAACCTCAACATGTAGCTTAAACATATCAGGACTTAAATGCTTGTGTTGTAAGCAGTAATATTTTATCAGTTATTGATGTCTAGAATCTTTTCTTTGTGAATAGATCAAACATTTCGTCTTTCTAATTTTTTCCGCATTGCTGCTTATACTTCTCATACATACCCCACTAATCTTCCAGATAGTACATATGTCCATAAATGAATACAATCCCATGGACAATTTGCAAGACACAGAATTGGATTAGCAGTTTGTGGCAATGTTGTACCGTCAAACAGAACCTTCTTGTTTTTATACATCCACACTGCTAAACCAACTGTGATAGTTGCATCTTTTCTTTTATGTCAGTTCTGGAGTACCTTAAACTTGAGAAATACTGATGTCACATGGAAATGTTTATAGTATATAAAAATATAGGTGTTTGGAAGAGACTAAGACTGTCATGAGGTTGATAAAAAGTCACATGGTGTTTACTTCAGCATGTTCAGAAGTTTTTCATGAAACATGAACTTGTTGCTGAAGGTTGAGATAATCTACCTTTGCCCTATGCTTTTCTTACTAAGAACTGTAATTTATCTGTTAATGACTTCTAAGTTATTGTTCAGATTACATGACATGTATTATGATGTAGGAAGCAACTCTATAAGGCGGTGTCATTTGGGCACTTTACCAAGTTTCATTTTATATGTCCTACCTGTGTGCAATTGTTACTGTGTACAGTAGGTGGATTGTATGTTGAATAACATTTATTTTATCCTTTTGTACTTGTAAATAGTTATGACTTCTCTGTGATTTCAAGGTGTGCAGACCTTTTTAGTGTTGTCATTTGTCTAGCCAAGATAGTTTGCCATGGTATAGGACTGTCAACTGAAGGCACAAATCGTATCAATTCCTAACACCGGTATTATAGAATTGAAACACAAACTTGTTGCACATGGTTTAGCACTATGGCATACAAGTGTATGTGAAATTAGGTGAGTTACGATAGTTTCAGGGATTTATCTAGACTTGCAAAGAGGGCAATATTTGGCCCAAGGCTGCAGCAAATGTCATTAAAAAATTTCCGAATTAGAATTACAATTTCCCAATTCATGTTTAACACTATTAACTAATCTTATGTTTTGTGGAATTAAAATAACACTAAATAAAAATGAATAGTTTTTAATTCTTTGTTGTAAATTATTGCAAAAAAAATACCTCTGAATTTAGAAAATTAAGAACATTTAAGAACAAAATATAATTTTTCCCCCCAATCTGGCTGCCAGGAGCACTTTATTTAGAATCCTAGAAAAATCCCTTGTTTTGGCTTATCACAATGTCCCAGGCTCGTAGAGCTTGTCACTGGCGTATTTGCTGCAGTGTCACTTGGTAATTTAGTTGAAACTTTTCAAACCATATGTCACAAACTGACATCAGGAATATGTTTTGCAAAAAGGATCTGTTAGTAACCTACATAATACTTTTCTTGAATGTTAACTTTAAGATTTAAATGTTTTATCCTATACAAATGCTTTGGACATTTGTTTACTCTTTAACCATGTTAGCCATGAGAGTTCTTCTAGTCACATGTACATTTATTACTGATGTTCACCCCGTGAAATTTGTTTTATGCATTAACATGTTAAAATTAGTGAGACTTACAGACTTGTCAGTTCAATGAAAATTTCATTAAGCAGTTGTGCAATTTGTTTGATGATTCAGACTAAAAACTATCAATCTGCAAGGGTATAATCAGATAATGTAATTAGTTTGAGTGCTAATACTTGTTCATTGTCAGTGCTCACATACATCAATCAGTTTAATGCCAGATAATTGATGAGATACGAAAATGTGTCACAATTGTATGGAGAGCCATTAAAAACTTAGTTCTATATTTTCAAATAAAACGGTTATAAATTTGAACTTCCATATTGTTGCAACCACAACATGAGTCTTGTGATAGAAGATCAGACATATTCTAAAGCCTTTGCATGGATGCATTTCATGCTGTGTCATGCTGTGTTAGTTGTTGGTCTTATTGCATAATGGGATCATCCAGCCAGTTCTTCACTTCATGATGAGGTTAGTCTTGTGGCACACCGATGATTATTTCCTGTCAGTCTACATAGAGCCTGGTACATTCCAGTAAGCTATATGATGGAACTTTGTATAATAAGATCAAAATCATGTATAAGCACAAAATGCTGACCTTTCTAAACACGTTTCTTGCTCTGGTCAATAATATTATTATACAGTGCTGCTTGATATTGGATAAGTTGGTGATAACCTTGTTTTTCATTCAAAGGTTTCGAATGTAGATTGGCTGAATATTACAGGTCATCCTCTTGGTTGGCGTGTATGTTTCCCATGTTTGAATTATTTCCTGTACCCCTGAAACTTGTATTAAAAATTCCCTTTCAGGTTTTATGGGGACAAACACCACTGATCATAACTGGGGTGTAGAGCAGGATGTGGTTACTTGACCAAACTATTGTTGCTATTTTCACTGGCATACAAGCTATTCATACATGGTAGTCATTTGCTTAAGAAGTATGAATGTTCCTTCATTTGGGTTCAGGCCCTACTTACCTGAAGTAGTGTTGAACCATGGGGACCACGAAGTATCTCTCCTTTATAGAAATAACCATGTGGCTGTTTCAAAGCTGTTAAATCTTTTACAGTTACTGTTGCAAAATAAAAACATTAAACAAAAGAGTGTTGCATCTGTTTATTTCACAGACATGTTTAGAATTAAGTAAACAAATCTACCTGTCATGCTCAGGTTGCCATCCAACTTCGAACAGATACGTGCGACATACAATTTTTGTAATATGGACAAAGATCCAATCCAACTTCTAAAGATCCAATCCAACTTCTCTTATATCACAGATATTCTTCTTATAGTCGCCAATCTGGAATAATTATTTCTTGTGGTTTTGTTCATGGTCTGTACGACTCATTTCCCCTTAATCATAATACTCTGTGCTTTATACATATTTTGTCTGAGTGAATGTTGTTTTATATCATTTCAACACTGTCGTTGACAGTAAAACTAGTCACATTGGTTAGACCTTGCAAGCATGGAACATTGCAAGGATGGAACAACGGGACCTGTTATGATGCAGAATCCCCACATTCTGGCAAACAATGTGTATCTTGATTCCAAACACTTTACCAAATAGTAAACATATACAAAGACAGTAATATTAACCCAATCTTTGACGACAATATGACTGACTTACAAAACCATAAACAGATGCTAATTTAACATAAAATACAAGATAAGATGAATAGTCATAAATCCTGACTACATCACTAGCACATCTCCTTTAGCTAAAGAAACAAAACCTCCATTTGGGACTTTCCTCTCGACACAAAAAAAAGTTAAACAAATTCATTTATCTTGTATAAATGCAGGCATTTCTGAAATTTCAGCCATCTTCGATTATTCAGTGAATTATAACCCCATTCTATTACGATATATACCCTGGACACAATTGCCACCACAGCTTCATCTAGAGTCTGATTCAACAACACAACGCTTAAAAAAAAGGTGTCCAATCCATGAGCGAGCGAGGGAATTTTTCGTTAAATTGCCAATAAGAGATTTGAGATGGTGATGTCACTTCCATAATAAAGCTATGGTTGTCAATGGATCTGGGGTATATATCTCAATAGAAAGGAGATGATGGAATAATATACTGTAATTGAGTATGACTGTCAGCATGTTTTGGAAAGTCTGTACAGGCTAGTAGGAATATCACTCCAATAAGGCTTGCACAAGAACTTGTTCCTGACAAGCCATCAATTCAAAAGTATGTTCACTGGAACAGCAGTGTTTCTTTCTAGACTGAGCATACATGAAGATATCCCCTTTGTATGGATCAATTTAAAATGTTGCTTTAAAAGATGTACATTTATATAATCTATAAAAAAAAGAAGATAGCAAAATAGTATCACACTGTACCATCCTGTACTAAGTGTAGTGCAATTACCTGTCACATCGCTACTATTCGTACGCTTTTAAATCATTACAGTAATACCACCAGTATTCCCGCTGGTTTTGAAAAAATTACCAGTCCCCCCTAATTTATGCCAGTCCCTACTTTCAACAAATAAAAAAATGTATGAAAATTATTTGGTTTTAAATCTTTCAACATCATGTTCAGTGCAAAGATGTTATCTCTGAAGTAAAGTAGTTAGATCTTTACGTCATTCACACAAACTTCAGTCACAATTTTCTCTCTCTTTTTTAAATATTTCGCGACGAAGTAGCTACAAATGGATATTTAACCTAGAAATAAACAAGGGGAAACCCTGATGGTAACAGACAAGCTTTGACTTTGTTCGAAAAATGTACCACCTATGTTTTGTTCAACAACAAAGATTTATAAGGTACTTTATTTGCTGGTCCACAGGGACTGGCAGTCCCATGAATTACCGGTCCAAGCCTAATTTTACCGGTAAAAAACTGGTATTTACGGTAAACAGGAACGCTGAACACAAAGTCAAAGACTGTCACCACACCTTATAATTGCTGTTTAATCATTATTTGGATTAAAGGTCTTTGGGGAGCAGGAGCCAAAACACAATATATGTATCCGAAGTGCATAAATCATCTTCTGAATAGTTACTGTGATATGATATCCGGGCACTGCATTGATCTTTGATGAAGTTGCACAGGACGAAATAGAAGAATGTCACTTGTACTTTCAATGTATAGCCCCTTCATATCGCAGTAGCCAGTCTTTGACTGAGTTTTTCTTGCCCCATGCATAATTGCCCAGACATCCATTGCTGTTAATGACACGATGACATGGCATAATCAGCTGAATGACATTTGTTGCCATTGCCATACCCACTGCTCGGCTGGCTTTAGGGCTTTCACAAAGCTTGGCTAGTTCTCCATATGATATTGTCTGTCCAAATCCAACTTGCTCTGGAAGTGTTTTCCAAACTCTGGCTGTAAATGACCCTGCAACAGGTTTGATAACAAGTTCTGTATTCTATCACATGATGCACACTATGTCCCTCCATTACCTTTGGGTTGGGTTCATATGACTTCTTTGAGTGAGTGAGTATGGTTTTACGCCGCTTTTAGCAATATTCCAGCAATATCACGGCAGGGGGACACCAGAAATGGGCTTCACACATTGTACCCATGTCGGGAATCGAACCCGGGTCTTCAGCGTGACAAGCGAACGCTTTAACCACTAGGCTACCCGACCGCCCCCTGACTTCTGTGAGATATACCATAACACACCCTATTTTCATTAGCTGATGAAAATTAGACCTGCATTACTATTACTCTGGACAGTGGACACATGTATTCATGGGTGATGGTTGGTTGGTTGGTTTGTTGTTTTACGCCGCACTCAGCAATATTCCAGCTATATGACAGCTGTCTGTAAATAATCGAGTCTGGACCAGACAATCCAGTGATTGACATCGTGAGCATCGATACACGCAATTGGGATCGATGACATGCATCAACCAAGTCAGCGAGCCTGACCACCCGATCCCATTAGTCGCCTTTTACGACAAGCATGGGTGCTGAAGACCTATTCTACCCCGGAATCTTCACGGGTCTCATGGGTGATGGAGGAACATTGTGTATACAAGTCTGTGAAGTACTAATGATATATATTGGTTGGCGCACTGATTAAATGAATTCTTTTCTCACAATTTGATTACATTTCTACTTACTTTCAGTTCAAGGTCATGGAACATTGTCATTCTTCTATCATAAAATCTTGATGTGTGTAAGAACACAAAAATATCGGTGAAGTTGAAACTTTCCAGAATAGCAATCCAACTAAAACATGGCCACCAAAGCAGCCATTTTGAAAAGTCCATTTTGGGTCACACAGATATTTACAGAAGCATCATTGTACATCTTACAGCACCAATATAGAATATTCTAGATGTGCATAATTATATAAGTGCTGTAAGATGTACATTTAGTCACAGTTGATCCTCGTGACATGATGATCAACTTACTTCTTGTTCTGCGCATGCAGAGTTTGGAAGGCTGCAATCTGTGTGTATTAGTGCTTCCATTTCCATATTTCCAGCAGTGTACTCTCAGATTTAGGGTGATGTTCCTTAGTCTTTGGTTACATTCTAATTGTTTCATGTTGCCAATTCCTTGTGTATTGTAGTTTTGTCTATGACAGTTTTTTTCTGCAGTGTGTCAGTATTTATTAGTAGGCCTGATTGTGATATGCTGTAAGGATAATTAGATTCCACTCATCTGTCTTGTAACATTGCTTCTTACACAGTTTATCAAGAGATATTCAGACAGCAATACTGTCATGAGTGAGTGAGTTGGGTTTGATGCAGCTTTGAACAGTATTCCATTTTTATCATCAGCTTAATGTGAGAGGAAAGCTCAAAGTGATGCAGGTCTCGTTTACCACTTTTGGTGATACCCACGAGCACAGATATGGTGCTAACACACCTTGAAACATAATGGGGAATCGAACACACGATCATCATAGTTTCTGGGACCCGTGAAGATCCGGGGTAAAAAAGGTCATAAAAGGCGACTATGCTTGTAGTAAGAGGTGACTAATGGGTACGGGTGGTCAGGCTCGCTGACTTAGTTAATGCATGTCATCGCATTCATATTTCGAGGGTCGATGCTCATGATGTCAATTACTTGACTATTTACAGACCACCGTCATAAAGCTGAAATACTGCAGAGTGTGTCATAAACAACAAACAAATTCATAGGATCCTGGCGTGCCAAAGGAACACAACTCTGCACAGCAAATTACGGCGCCTTAGACAAACCGAGCCTCCAAAACAGTCAAAAAACATATATTTTAAATCCCTACCTTCTTTGACAACCGATGGACATATCCGTGGCATGACTGGGTCTTTTTCCATGTTTCCCTGATGGAAGTAAGCTGTCAACCAGTCGACACACACCAGGGCTGGCTTGTAGGTGTACCCGTTGTCCTGGTACAGCTGGGCTTGCACCTCCACTTTCACACTGCACCACACAAAAGAAGAGAGGGGTTGTTGCTGCTGAAGGGGTCATTGTCTGACAGGTACAGATCCCGTTAGTCGCCTCTTACGACAAGCATAGTCGCCTTTTACGGCAAGCATGGGTTGCTGAAGACCTATTCTACCCCGGAATCTTCATGGGTCCTACAGATATGTACGCCAGGTACTCCAGTATTAGACTCCGGTATTTGTCTGAACCAGTTCTGTGCCCTGCAGAATGGACTCATCCCAGGATACTGTTCTGTATTCTGATGTTGGTTAGAGTACATTTCTGCATACCAAGCATTATGTGGGGTACATATCTTTAGTCACGCCAACGACGACTCCTTCAGCATTAGTGCATCCATCAACTTGGTCATGCTTCGCAAGTTAAACTCATGGCCAAAACAGAATCAGTCCCAATGCCAAATGTTCAAATCATCCGACTGCCATACTGTGACAAGTGAGTGAGTTGGGATTTATGCAAGAATTTATGGGATGGGAGGCGAATTGGAACAAAATGTCTTTTGAACAAAATTGGAAATACAATTATTAAATTTAGAGGTATGTTAATATTACAACTAAGTACAGCTACAATAAGGCCAGATTTAAATTTTTTAAAATTATTATTATTAGTATTATTTTTTTTACAGATTTTTTAATAAGAAATTCAGGTTGGTTGGTAAAAAGAAATTAATAAAAAGACTTTCCAATTCGTTTTTGTTTTTATCTTTTAAAAAATGTGAAGTTGGTAGGAAAACAGAAAAACAAACGAAAAGTAGAGGAAGGAGTTTTTAAGACAAATTTTGAATTGGTTTATTCATAATATTTAAATCAATCACTTATTTTGATGGTGACAGTTATGAGGTTTTTTTCACATTTTACTTTTTTCTGGTTGGCAGAATGAAAACCCCACTGTTTTTCTTTTGTTCCCATTTCAAACTTTAAGAGTCAGAAATTAGTAAAAAAAGTTTATCAAATATCTGGCCTTTAACACAGGGTGAATGTCTATTAACTCTGCCATAACAGAAACTGAACTAGTTCTGCAGAGCTAGAGGCCTCCTACATTCCACAAACCCAATACAACTGGGTATTTGTCACAATACGTACTTTGGGCACTTAGGAAATTGGCACTTATTAAAACCACATATGACAAGGTAAATTTGTTTGCACAGATCCAGCCTTAGTATCCAATTATTTTGAAAAATGGACAAAAACATTTTTGATAGTTGTTTCCAGGTAATTATATACCTCTGCTGTTTTCTAAAAAATGTGCAATTTACGAAGAAAATATGGACAGTCATGTAAATGTCTATGGGGGTGCTTACAAAGATACTCTGCACATTGCTCTAGAAGTTGGCATTACTGAAGCAGGTTCCATAACATGGCAAATATGGTAACCCCCTATCATTGGACCAGCCATGCTAAAAGACAGCAAACAGGTTACTACACAGGAATTACCTTAAGTCTGGCTTAAAGTTTTCATCGTTGATGCTGTCCCCTTGATTGAGAAAATGCAGACCCTTTGGGCAGCTGATCAGTTCCATGTTGCCGATAGGTGTTGTCACAGTAAACGTGTTGGTTGGACCATGGTGACATGCCAGTTTCGCTTTGCCAGGCATTGTGGAGAAATGTTGACACACAGACCCACAAAACCGTACTTTATTCCTGAAAAAAACCCAATTGCCACCCAATGAAAACTAGAAAAGTATTTGCAAACAAAACTTTATCAGCCAATTCAGAAACGATGTCATACCACCAGGCATTTTCAGTCTGGTACCTGTCACCAACTACTTAGATATACATATTTTGTTGCCATGGAAACTAAAAAAATATAATTTCCAAAAATCCCACTAGATACATCTATGTGCCAACTTTGGTGAAGAAATCTTGTACAGCTTTCAAGATCTGTTGCGGAAATAGCACTACCCCCATTTTCAGTCTCAGTCAAAGTTGTTGCCATAGAAACTCAATTTAAAAATAAATAAATTTAAATCCAAAACTATCAAAAGCTTGGTGAAGAAATAGCAGACATGACACCTTACATATCTCATTAATAGTGATCTTGACCCCAATGCATAGGTCCCTTTAAATAAGCAAGTCAGTATTTAATGTCGCAACAGCATTACTTCGGCCATACAGCAACGAGGTCGCATTAAACTTAGGATTCAGCCTCACTCTCAGTTATGTTTGCTTGCTGACATCCTGTAAATATTCCAGTGATTGATGTTATGAGCAACAGTATATGATCAACACTAAATGTTGTAAAACGATTTTTCAGGCTATGACCTTGAGGATGACCTTGACATAACTGATCAAATGCCTCAATGTCTGATATAATCACAATATTGATCTGCATGTGGATCTACAAAACAAAGTTATAAGTGATAATAATCGATGTTTTATAGGTTGGAAGACCCAATTTTAACCAGCAACTAATATTGTAAATTTGTAGTTGTACATGCACCCAAAAGTTAGAACCAAAACATATGGCCTATATCTATTTATCTTAAACTTCGCCTAATTCTTTATCAGATACAGCCTGACTAGTATCAGACAAGTTCTTGTCTGTTCTTAGTATGTATACAGGCATACATTCAGTGTAGTTATGGGCTTTCTGATGACATTCTCACTGTTGGTTTTCTAAAATAATTCGGCTTCATTTATTTTCTGCCTTGATTCAGAAATTTCAATCTCTGTCAGAAAAAAATGCCACTGAAAGCATATATCCATCAATAGCAAATCTTTCGGGTGGAGAAGCCATGGCGTTCTCTTATTACAAGATGTATAAACTGTGCACAAAGTCTGTTGGAAAACAAGGCTCCTCACAACTAAAACATGAACTTTTCTTTCTGTTTTGTTTTCATGTTTAATTATCAACTACAACATATCAGTAGCAAATTGTCATATGGTTGTTGTTGTTGATACTCTTACACTGTCCTACGTTTCCATGGAAACATAATAACATAAAACCACTGAAGTCCACTTTGTTCATTCTGCCCTCCTTATCTATTTCCTGTCTACAGATAACCATCTATGTTACATCATAAATAATACAAAATCGGGAAAATGATTAAAGCAGTGTTGATATAACATCGCGGGCTTGATCAGTAGATCGGATGTTTAGTCGGTGGGCAGGGGATGTGTCAAAAGTATGCATGTAATTTCTAGACACTGATGTTGGCTGATTATGTGCTTGCTGCCTTAGCACATGATGTGTGTACAAAGATTCATGTGCACCTGTACATAAGGCTGTCGTTCACAACCCTTAATACTTACTTAGATCAATCCCAGATCTGTTAGCTGATTCCTATACATTGTAGTTTCAAACAGCAGCTGTATTGACATTGTTTGAAAATATCTAAGTAAATTTTCAAAACATACCGTCCATGTCCATAAGAAAGGCGATTCTCTATTACTGATTTGGAGACTTTATTGCACTCAAAAAGAACCCACTTATCTGATGGCAGATGACCAGATGGTGGAATCATGAATACATTTAAGGGCTGGATTTAGCTATATAAAACATGCACTAGTACAACCCTTATTATTGAAAAATGCAACCTAATATGTATGTCTACATGCACCAAGTACATGTAAAAAGAAATCTGACTAACTGTCACTTTGTCCACTCTCTCTCTGAACTCTCTCTCACACTCACACTCACACACACACACACACCATACTACATCACTAATCCCTGTGTTCCGTGTAATTTGTCATACTTTTCTGGGATTGACATCATCAAACTGTGAGTAGTTCAAGAACATGTGCACTTGTTCCTGTTACGAATCACACCAATGTGTCGTTTACATATGCGACACTGGCAGCAGACAAGCCTATGTTTCAACCGTGATAGGCTTATGGGACCAGGGTGCAACCTGGTTTGGTTTGGGGCAACTTGGTTTTCATGGCAACATGCACACGGTGCAAGTTAAATCAAGTTCCTTAAATCAATCCCTGCATTCATACACTCGAAATTCAAGTGCCAAAATGTGTGGTGTCTCCCTGGGCAAGTGACTTAGTTCAAATGTGCCTCTGTTCACCCAGCAGGGAATGGGTACCCGATAGAAATCCTCTAGCGCCCGTAGGCAGCATGGGGTTGAATGAACTCCAGGGAGTTGAGAATGAAAACTGGAATGCATACGGATCCACTGGTTGGCGAACAAATAAACCTCATTTGAGCAGATACTAGTGTCTGGATAAGTGCGGTATATAAATGTATAATATAATGATAACAGATCACTGTAAACAATCAGTGTTTAGAAATGCATAGAGATAGTGACTCTAAGTTTATTTCCACTGTCCTTACAGACGGTAGCCCATTCTCTTGTATTGCTAAGTTGCGTTAGCCTGCAAATCAACTCATGGCAGCTAGTGAGCCTTAGCGGGCAGTGTTAGACAGTCAGGTAGGGGCCAGAGCCTAGTGCCCCTTTAATGGGGTGGTCAGTGTCCAAACTAAAACAAATATGGTGGAAATAGCATAAACACTTTTGACATAGTCCCTGTAAGTTATGTATTACTATTGTAATTATACTTCTTATTTTGTACCAACACATACACATAAACCTGTTACATGGTCCAGCTGGTGAAATTGAAGCTGAATGCTGGAATTATATGAACATATATCTCACACAAAGGGTAAGCAAAGATTCAAGTATGTTTCTGTTTTAGCACATAAAGCCTCATATCCAGAGCTACAGATAAGCAGCGTATTTGCGTAAAATACCCCAAAATATATTAAAACCCAATTACTTTCAATGAACTTGCGTACTGAAACGCATGCATTAAATGAAAAACTCAAATTATAAAAACAGCTCGCGTAAATACCCAATGAAGCTTTTTCGGCATGCGTACAAAGGAGCTAATTTCCGAAACACATTTACGAGCTAATTCACTTTCTGAGTCAAGCCTATATATTTAGAACAATTATATACATCTAAAACATTATTTCATTTTTTCAAAATCTTAAAATGTTCACTAATTTTGGGAAAAACCCAATAGAGTGAACAGATGAGTGAAACAATATTGGTTACCCAATGAAAAATGTAATAATCCAATTAAAATAGAAACCATAGAGTAAAAACTCAATTGCTCAAAAAGTTATCTGGAGCTCTGCATATCACTTTTACATACATTGAGGTTATCATGCGAGTGTGTCATTATTTAATTCTGTGCTTGAAAATCACTTTCCCTCTCTCACAAACATAACCGAAACATTGCGAGTTTTCCTAGAATGCGCACATTAATATCTATAACGTCACAAGGTAAGTGATGTGTCAGTCAGACAGTGGCCAATATAGTTCCAACTGAAATCTGTTTCTTATACTGTGACGAAGCAACATATAGGCAAAACAACAATTGTTTTTACTTGCCTCTTGTGGCAATCCATCTGTCTGTCCGCTAGAATAACCCTAGTCAGCATTAGAAATTGGCACTAGTGCCGTAGTCCTTTGCCAAACTGGCCATTTTTAAGGTGAGGCGAGGTGAAATTGGGTTTAACGTCGCGTCCAAGATTATTGCACTTATATAGCGACGTGCATGCACGTGTATGTGTGTGTGTGGCTGCTTGTACTAGTCCGGACTGATGCCGATTTATAGTGCTAGCTCACTGAGATACCATGCCGCAGTTTAACATGAATACCCCACTCAGACACAGTATACTGACTCCGAGCCGACCAGTCCTTGTTTTAGCCCCTTAATGCCGAGCGCCAGACAGGGTAACAACAAGTACAATCTTTTAACGTCTTTTTGTATGACGCGGCCCGGGATCGAACCCTGGACCTTCCGCTCTCCGGGCGGACGCTCTACCACAAGACCACGGAGGCGGTGCCATTTTTAAGGGTTTTGCTATATGTTATCATTATAAGGACTAGTGGACCAAAAATGTTAGTTTCTACCCCTGCTAGTCTATGAGACATCACGGCCACGTTCAGAGGTTGTTGACAGTCGGCCTGTCCTGTCATAACCTTACGAAGTGCAGTCAGGTGTGCAAGGTAACAATTCTGGCCAAATACAACTATTTTAATTTGTGGAAAAGGTTCCAAGCCGCAGAGGTCTACAAGCACAGATATGGCTACTGATCCTGCTTGGCTAGGACTAGTGCCCTCGCAAAATTGTTTCGCAATTTATGTCTCCAAAGTTGCCCAAACTTGTAAAATGCCTTAGCTACGTCACAGACACTGGTTTTCAGTATATTAGACTTTTGATAATATCAATTATCCCAGATGGTTAATTCTGACTCGACCGCCAAATGACAAGGGCGACACCATGTTTGTAAACAGTGAAAGTAGTCCCTACTTGACCTTTGATATTTGCATCTCTATCCGCATATGACCCCAACAGATATCGTTTTTATCCATTGGCTTTATCCTACAGAGAAACCTAACCATTATATGATAAAATCCTATATCAGCATGTCAATTTTTGACAGTTTCAATTTGAATTCAAATATCAGATTGCTCGTTGTGCAGTAAATGTGAAAATATTCATTTAATAGTTTCAGACTGAATTTAATGGCTTTGACAAATCTGCTCTTATTCATTAAACGAAACATTTTGACGTCAATATGTGTTTCAATAAATGTTACTGGGGAAAAAGGGTGTACACAAATAGGAATTTAAGAATGGTGCTAATTTGAAAGAAAAAGAAAAGAAAAATGACCAATTATCTGGGGTAATGAAATGAAAACTGTAGTCTGTAACATCAGAAGTTAATTTTGTGTTCTGATTCGTCATCAGAACTGAATAACGAGTATCACACATTATGTAGGTTTAATGTACAAATGACATTTAGTAAGGAACTGGTAGTAGATTAAATAAGCATCCAATGGCAAATGGTAACAATATGAAATAATACCAATTTCAAATGACAATAGACTGTATGACAAACACTGACAATCAATGATAATCAGGCAATGAAACAGAAAAAAAGAAGTTTTTCTCTGTAAACATACATGACAAAAATAATGAGTTTGCCACTAACGTGGATATATCCCCCGCCCCTGTTGCAGAATTTATGACATAATTAAATCTAAACAAACCCTAACCTTTTTTAACCGAGGTGGAACTTGTTGTCATGGAAATTGTAAAAAAGAAGAGTTTGCCACTAGGTGAGGTGACGTGAAATTGGGTTTAACATCATGTCCAAGATTATTGCACTTAAATAGTGACGTGCATGCACGTGTGTGTGTGGCTGCTTGTACTAGTCCGGACTGATGCCGATTTATAGTGCTAGCACACTGAGATACCATGCCGCAGTTTAACATGAATACCCCACTCAGACACAGTATACGGACTCCGAGCCGACCAGTCCTTGTTTTAGCCCTTTAATGCCGAGCGCCAGACAGGGTAACAAGAAGTACCATCTTTTAACGTCTTTTGGTATGACGCCGCCGGTGATCAACCCCGGACCTTCTGCACTCCAGGCGGACACTCTACCACTAGACCACGGAGGCGGTCAGTTTGCCACTAACGTGTCCAAATCTCCTGCCCAGCAAATGAAGTGTATATTATGTCAACAATAGTGAAATTTGATCACACAAACACATACATTTGAAAATATTCAAAATGTTGTAAGGTGTAAAAGGCAGCAGGGGAGCATTTACTTGATGTAAATGCAAAATATCCCGAAGAAACAAAAAAAATGCTGCAAAACACAATTTCTATGAAGTTCAAGAAAAAAATGAAACCTTCTCCACAAAAAAAACATGATGGAAGTACAAACTGACAAAACCAGTTACTACATTTACTACTGAATTCATTAGGGTGGGAGAAAGAAAAAACATTACAAGTCATGTTACCCGCACTCACTGCGACGAAGTAGGCTGCCATGAGTGCCACACACATTCTATGTTGTGGCTTTTTAACAATATGGTCATACCATGTGATATGATAAAGTGAAAAATAAAACAAGACAATATTATAAATGTGAATGTTAAAACTCTACAGCACAAAAGTCTTCATATCAACATGTGCTGAAAACTGTAACAAGAGTCATCAGAAAGATGACATATCCCCCCGGCAGCTGTCTGTAAAGTAACCACAAGTAAATGTCCAATTCTGTATGTAATGAGTCAAGAGTTGAATGTTCTTGAAAAAGCATACATTGTTTACAAACAAAAGATCCTCCATAGTCGCATCCATATGAAATGGAAAGTAAAACAAGTGTGTTTCTGTGGGTTTTTTTTATGCAAACAAATGACAAATTACAAGAATCAATAACTAAACAAGCATATAATCAACGAAGCCATCTATATCCCCAGCTCATTTTAACACGTTATTGTCCCAAACCAGGTAACTGACCCAACATTTCTCTTAGCCCATGTCAAAATAGCTGCAATGGAAATTCTAAAATAAACATTTCTAAAACTCCTTAATATCAAATGGCACCAGTTCAGTATGTGATTCATATATAGACATGCAATGTTTGGCAAGGAAATATTTAACAGTTTATTTGTTATATTCCATAAGTGAACCCACCCTATATTATAACTAAAATCCAACTTGATGCCATGGAAACGTAAAAAATAAAAATTCTAAAATTCCTAAATAGCAAAAGGCTCCAGTTCAGTATGTGCCTGGTAGACATGCAAAGTTTTGTAAGAAAGTATTTAACGGTTTTTGAGTTACACTCTGGAAATGAACACCACCCTCATAGAACCTAAGTCCAACTTGTTGGAGCAAAAGGCACAACTTCAGTATGTGACTGATAGATGTGCCAAGTTTAGATCAAATACACTGAACTGTTTTCGATTTATGCCCCGGAAAAGGAAATGATTATGGACAGAAGGACGGACAGATGGATGGACGGACAGACAGACAGACTGGCTGATCGCTATATCCCACCGCATTATATGCCAGGAGAGGGGGGATAAAAAGTTTCATAGAGAAGTATGCCATCTTATTGCACACTCATCTCTGTCATAATCAATGAAGAAGTAGGGATGATGGATTTGATAATGAAGTCATTAAACGAAAGTTACCCTGAACCATTATTGAGGCACATATTGACAACTTGGTAGAAGGCATGCAGAGTTTCCCCTACTATGGGAGATACCTAAAACACAAAATATAGGCACAAAAAAACCACTTTATTATGACTTGTAAGATTCCTTAAACAGGTTAATTGGGTATCAAGTTGAATGAGAGAGAGTTCGCGTTCGCTGCATGCTCACAAAAACTGGTTGCTTAACATGTGAATTACAGCAGAGATTGTCCTCACCACAAGGAGTGGTGCTGTATTGTAGACATGCTCATATTGTACTGATGATTTTTCTGTGATTTTTGATTTTTGTTAGTTTGTTATTTAACGCCGCAATTTTCCAGCTATATGACGGCAGTCTGTAAATAATCAAGTCTGGACCAGACAATCCAGCAGAGCTCCAGAAAAGCTGCGTATCTGCGTAAAATACACATCAGAAATGCAGAAATATGCAGTAAAATAAAATCCAAGCATATCAAATACGCAACGAACATTCCAAATACGTTACAAAAATAAAACTTGTGCGTATCATCAAAATATTGTGAAGTAACCCTGCTTTATTCGATTAGCAAATCAGCAACTTATTTTGAAATTATAAACGGGCATTCCGTCAACCTTGCCAAACTCCACGATGACAGTTACATCATGATCATTTGCCATCACACTTTCTTGTGGAAGTATCGTGGTATTTTTGAGTCATATAAAGCTCTTGAACCCACACGACACCAGTTTGCAGGGATTAGATGAATAGTGTTTTTAAATATTTAACTTAAATACCCACATGTGTAAAAACTAGTGGGTAACAGAAATTTGAATTCCCACATAGAATTACTGATACCAAATGATTTTAAAATGCATGGGTAAAATACCCACAACACTAAAAGATTATCTGGAGCTCTGTCCAGTGATTGACATCATGAGCATCGATCCACGCAATTGGGATATGATGACATGCATCAAACAAGTCATCAAGCATGACCACCTGACCTTGTTAGTCGCCTCTCACGACAAGTTGTGTTTTGTGAACTTGAGACCTAACCTCAACATTAAAACTGTTAGACATTTTCTGATTTCATGTATTTATAGATCTACTTTTCAATTATGAAAATAGATGTTATTACAAATACTATGCAACTTAATTAAAGAGCTGGTAGTCATGTAGCATTCGTGAATAATAATAATAATCATAATAATAACAATAATCATAATCATAATTAAAAAAAAAACAGGGCTTACAATCAAAACACAATTAACGTCACTTAATTACAAATATAATGTGAAAAATGTAACATGACAAACTGCTTGGCTGCCTAATGTTATACAGTATATTCATCTGCAGGACTGATTATGTTTGAAATCCAAATGTTTTTAACTCGTACATGATCAGTATACTGATGGCCTTGACCCTGGTACTCTTTGACAATACGGGTCACTGATAAAGGTATTGCTTTCGATATTCCAGCCCGTTCAGTTGAAACAAAAATATTTGACCTCATTGCATTTAAGACACATCAAACAACCTACATTGACAAATTACAAGCATGTCATTGGAAATAACACCTGAAACTTCTCGTCAACAGGTGCGAGTGCCCAGAACATTCACCGGCTTCCCGCCATATTACAAGCTGGAACAGAAACCTATTTTCCTAACGAGCTATTACAAGATTAGTTTTCCAATAAAGCGCCTGCTGTTTCGTTGTGACAAGGTCGATTTGGTCATACAAAATAGAACGCGTCCATAAGACAATCAATATGGACTCATATATGTAGCATCTACATCTATCCCCGTGATAGCACGAATACTAGAATAATAATAAACCATTGTATACACGGGAACAATCTTCTTGGAGATGTGTACTGGCAACTTCTGGTAGCATAATTTGCTTCTTCTCAGCGCATGAGACTCGCATGAGACTTTTGATGGTGTCAGAATAAAACAAACATCATCAGCCACTCAGTATAGTTATATAAAATTCAAAATACCTTATTACATTTATTTTTATTTTTTCTACATAAATATGTAAATGGAAAATATAACTTTATTTCTATTCACACTCCAACATATTTCCTTTTATTTTCAACTGCATGGACACAAAGAATGTCAGCACCTTGTTACGTCCGTATAACCTGACTTCCTGGTGTATTGCTTTTCCGGCTTAGATGTTCTTGTTGTCCTTACAACACGGGAACTCGTTTGATGGTAAATATATTGTAAAACTGAAGCTTTTATAGTGTTATTATCAAATACCATTCCCTTATTCTTTGTAGTTGACCTTTACACCATGTAGCCTCAAGGTTCATTAAGGGCGAGGTCGGTCCACATGGGTTAATTCATAACATGTCATGAGTAAAAAAATATGCTTATGAGATTGGATTGACAAACAGACTCGAGTTCCGCGATTTCAGTGTTGAAATGAATCAAATATTAAACGCAATCTTTTAATGTGTTATTCACATTGAGTTCCGCAAGGTTCGACACTTTTCGTGAAGACTCGGAAACACGCTTATATAACAGCACAAGTATTCCGATCTGTAGTGACATGTGAAGCTTGTTCCGATTGGTATGTCAACACGTCAAAGCTAGGCGACACGTCGGTTGTTTAGCCGTTCACAAACTATTCTTGGAATGTAAATATAACCGTAACAGTTAAACACTCGCATAGATTTGTTACATGCATATGTGTTTATATGAGCAACTCTCCATTTTCGTATTCAAGTATTCCGCATTAAAAGCGTCAACCAAAAGCTGATTTGGCGGGTAAAGGTAGGCCATTTTCTTTTTCAAATGTTCCTTATTTCATTTAAATATTATCGATACAGTTTTCGGTTTTATTATTGTTCGTACTTGATTTCGTGAGTCTGTATAACAAACAATAATGTGAAAGAATTGTCAAGTAATACCGTCTATAAATAATACTTTTCAAGTAAAACTAGGATTTAAGAAACAACAAAATAATTGCTGAACCAGATACCATATCTATTTTATGGTCTCTGGCTGAATTATCTATCAAGTTATGTGATTATTTTAAAAATGTTAGTTGTGTTTTATTCTCAACATAATACATGCAGGCAACCATTGCAGGAAAACACCGTAAGAGAACTAAATGCCACCCCTTTTCGGATAATAGTTGTGGTCGTTCAATTTAGATTCGGTCCAATGCATTACTTCCAATCGGTTTAAGTAAAATCAAACTATCAATCAATCAAATACTGTATTGCACAGGAATTAACTAGGCGTTTACTAGGGCTCCCTAGTAATCAGTACGCGTTAATCACAGATGTAATAAAACTGCACTATCATTAATCTAATAAACAATAGGTGTTGAAGTGATAAGGTGCCAGCAGTGCTTACGTAACGTTAATTGGACCGTCGTATTAAGTGTCCATGATTGGACAGACGCCAAAACAGTAAGTCACTCGACTGATTGGGCTAATTAGACCTGATCACGTGACAGACGGTTTAAACTTTGAAAAACAACAACATTTGGTCAGAGCAATGTAATTACTATGGTGTCTACATAGAATTTATACTTCGGTTACGATGTTTGTGATCATTAGAATCAACAGAAGCCTTAGAAATAAAGTTTAAAGACGGTTTGCTGTTAGGGGAGTATTTTGTGGGACACGGCCTCGTTATGGGAATCAATTACCCATCATGCTTTCGTAAACATGGATGTCAAGCTAAGTCTACAGGTGGAAACATATCTCCGGTAAAAAGAGTTTTTGTCCCTTTGTTTCTTCGTTCCTTCGCAATGTCTGAAACGATTCCAGGTGGGAGACAAAGAGCGTCATCTGAGGGGGATATTTTGGATGACGACGACGACGATGGCGCCTACAGCACAGGAGTAGGTGCCCCTTTGAACTCAGGCCACCGAAAGGTAAGCACAAGCGCAGTGTTGACAACTGTTGACAGACGAAGTCAAAGAGAAGACTACTATTCCGATGTTCCTGAAGAAAGACGAACCATAGGGCCATCAGAAAGGCGAAGTAAGTCGCGTAAGACATCTTTTAAATCAATAAAGAAACTAATGAATCGTGTAATGAAGAGTTCATCTTCTGCGAGCTCAATACACGAACAGGATCCGTCATCTCGTGTGACATGGACACCAACACTCCGACGACGAAATGACAACATTCACGATGCACCTGATCTTCGAGGATCGAGAAGAGGAAAGCACGAGAAGTCTGAATCAACGTCAAGACCCCTCATCACCGACCCAAGCTTCACAGGCCCGAAGTGGGAGAAAACCCCTGGAACAGTTGGCCTTAACAATCATGGGAACACTTGCTTTATGAATGCGATTTTACAGTGCGTGGGGAACACAGATTCATTTGTGGAATACTTTGTTGATGGAGTGGTTAAAGAGGATTTGAGAAACCTGAGAAATAGCAGGAAAGGTGCCATAAAAGCAGATGTGACTGAGCATTTAGCAGTGCTTCTGAAATGTTTTTGGTCAAACCGATACAGTGCTGAAGTGTCTAGGGATTTTAAGTCCATCGTGGGGAAAGCTAATCATCAGTATGAAGGTAGTTCTCAACATGATGCACAGGAGTTTTTGTTGTGGCTGCTGGACAGACTGCATGAAGATCTAAACTCCAACATTAAGAAGAAAAACAAACCACTGAAGGTACGTATCGAAAAGCTCTTTTTATTTGATTTGTGTTAAACAGCATTTTGTTTTGAAAATGTGTGACATTACCGCTGTAAAGATCGCTTATTGGCACAATCCCATAATGTCATTGTATTTTACACACATAATAACACTGACATTTTCCTATGTGTGTGTGTGTGTGTTTGTGTATGTATGTGTATTGAACATTCAGTGTGCCTCAAAATTTAATATAATAACAATTTGGATAAGTCATTTCATATGTCACAAGAATTATATCATTTCAGAGAGTAAACAGTCAAAGTGTCAAGCATTACAAGACAAAATTCAAAATATTTTGGATGACAGACACAAATTATTGATAATGTGGAAAGTAGACAATTTGTTACTATCCTGAATGTCTCAAACAACATTAAATATATCAAGTCTGAATGAATGAAAATCATTAGTGTTTATGAAGTTCAAAATGACTTTGTATCAGTGAATTGTGTAATGTGTTTCTTTTCAAAGACTAGTCTTCACCGACTATCCCATGTCCTATTAGTGTACACTTCCTGGTTCATGGTGGGGCCCACCTTTAATAGCTTTCTAGTTAGGATCAAAGGTCAGGTGAAGGTCCCCCAAGTCAGCTGGTCAGTGTCCTGCTGTCTATCAATCGGTTGTCATCATGATCCTTCAATCTAATCACAACTACATTATCATGAAATGACGCAGGTTCAGAGATACAATGACATGTAGGGTTTAGATAGATGGTAGTAAGATTTGGTTAGGTGAATGAAAAATATGTTGTTAATGCTTGTGATAGAAGAAAATTATACAGAACATATACAGAAATCAATAAAAAGAGTGTTTTATAGCCCTTAGGTGTCAAGATTTATGGCTCAAGTATAATATATGGTAGTTTCAATAAGCCATGATGTATAACATTATTTCAATGTCAGAGAAATATTATTCAGTTTGCAATACATATACATACATGGCTGTATGAATCCTTTGTAATCATACTTAGTAATAATGGGAATTAAGTGAAATGGTATACATGGATTAATGAGATTTATGATCTCTTTAGGCAGTCAATAATTAGCCCTAATAAAGCTGTCAAATTAGGCATACTAATTATCATATTAGGTCATCTTGAAAAGGTAGTTAAATTTATTCTGCCCCTTAGGGTACATACCAGTATCCAGTAAGTTAGATAAATGGTCTCTGAAGTTAAATGGTTGTGCATTGTTCTCTTGCTGTTCTTGACTGTTTTGGTAAAATCTGTGGTCATTGATAAATGATAAACGACAAATAGAAATAAAGTATATGTGAATGAAGCTTTGACTGGTTTCAATAACCCTATATATGCTCAATTTTTTTACACAATATGTTGTGTTCTGTAAAACCCTGATGATGCATAATCTCTTAATGGTTCCAAACATACCAAAAAAATGTGATATTTCAGTGGCTAACTCAAATGTCCTTATGTTTGAACTGTGATCTACTGAATGATATCAATAGACAATTTAGGGCAAGAAGACTTGAATGTTTTGTGGAAGACTTATATTGAGACTTAATAAAGATAGCGTAAATTAAATCCAAATAATCTGCTCCTCATTTTGAATGTGTGGTTGATGTGATGTAATTAGATTGTGGGTGAAAACAAGTAGACCTTCACAAATTTTAGATTTTTGTAGTTTTGGTCCAGCAGTCTAAACCTGGAATTGTAATAGAACTAACTAGTAGAGAATAGAGACTAGCGAATTAACTTCAGTTTTAGTCCCTGATGGTAATAGTCCTATGGCATAGCCACAAGTCAAGCAGACTGAAGCCATACTCCTTTGTTCTTTAAGTGAAAAATAAAAACATCTGAAACATGTTTTATTCATTCAGAGGAAATATCCTTGAGTGATATTATTTTGCATGTGACTTCAGGCATGTTTGGATAAAGACCCATGGTGAAACAACACTTTGTTTATATCTTGCATATATCTGTCATATTCCAGGTAAACTGTGTTGGCATTTATGACAGCTTGTTTGCCGAAGGTGGTATATTTCACATAGCTGTGTTTGTAGCAAATGACTTCACTAAGTGACAGGCTCTGCATCAGTGGTGATTCTTTTAGGGTTAAAGGTTCCTGAACCTTGAGAAAGTTAAGTGGCTGACAATTTTGTTTAAAGGCTTTTGGTGGCCTTTAACTTCAAAGAAGATGTTTATGTCTGATTGTTTTCAAATATTTTTTTTTAACTACACTTTGCCATTTTCCTTCATCTTCCCAAGGCAAGTGAGTTAACTGACTATAAAAGTCCAGTTTCCACCCTTGTCGAACTAGGCTGGTATTATGGAGTTACATTTTGGCTGGACTAACGAGTCTATGCCTAGTCCAATCGAAATCGCGCACCAAAATCGAAATCCATTCGTTAACTGTCATGCAGATTTTGGTCTAATGCAGGATTTGCAAAGCATGTGCACCGCCAACTCATTGTCCACAGATATTTTCCAAATCATTTCATGTTTTTAATAAAGGTGCTTACAGTATGTAATGATTTGATGCACTTCACGATGTAAGACTCGATTTATAACAATACAGATCTCGTTTATCGATCAGATCGTCTTGACTGAGCGCTGCCATTTTGTTTGAAGTAAATGCAAGTGATACGAGTGGTGGAATCTGATTGGTTCATAGGAGAGGCATAGAAGGGACATAAGTCGTAATAGCCACTGGTGGCGCTATGATCGAGCCAAGGAATTCCAGCCTAGTTCGGCAAGGGTGGAAATTGGACTTTTAAAGTCAGTTAACTCTCTTGCCTCGGGAAGATGTTTTCCTTTTGTGAGTCCAAGACTTCGACATGAGCCTGTACATGTAGAATTATCATACAACTTTAGCCTGTACTTGTAGAATTATCATACTATTTTAGCCTGTACATGTAGAATTATCATACTATTTTACCTATCATTAATAACAACAAATCTATACAACATAAAAAATGAGATATTTTCTGCTACCACAAATCAGGGTGTCATAACAATTTATCGGACTATCTATATATTGGAATTGACCGTGGCTCAGTGCCGCTGCCTGTGTGATAGGTAAAAGATATGCACTATCTTTAATCAGATATTGAAGTGGTTTTGGGAATAACTAATTTCTTGTGTCATCGTTATGATTCTTATGTTTCAAGCAAATATTCCCTAATGATAGTAAAGTCTATCTTAATTTATCATCTCATCCTATCTTATGTTATCTTATCTTAACCAAGATGACTAGTTTGTAATAATTTTGCGCTTTCATCTTAGTTTCATAATGATGCAAAAATATTGTGACAATGTTAAATGAAATCAATATAATCATTACAAATTCTGATTAGGTCAATTTTGCATGTTTTGGGGGTTCACTAACTAGACATCGATGGAATTAATTAACATTATTTGTACCCATTAGCATTGATTAAATCGATCTGAATACCATGTAGAATGTCGTTCAAATGTATCATAGACAGATACAAGGCTTAAACACATATTTTACTCACAAAGAAGACATTCATGCAAGTTTTGAATACACAGAAGAGCTTCTTAAACCAGACCTACTATAATTCCCATTTGGCAGTTGTTTCCTTAATATGGTTTTAAAAAGTAAAACACATTCAGAAGGAATGAAAAGACTGAACAATACCCTTTATTGTGTTGAAGATCTGTACATACTTTTGAGGTAATGAAATAAGTGCCAAGTTGACAGAGCTTCAATTATTTAAGAGTAACAAGTATATACCACAGTTAAACATCTCAAATTGTTTGAGAGTTTGTGCAGTCCAGTTCTCAAGGAGTTTTGTGTCAAAGTGACCTACATTCCATATGCTTTTCATGCTTATGAAGTTTTATGCCAAATAATATTTCTTACTAAACTACTCTTCCCAAATATGAATATTTGACTGCTTTTATAAAAGAAAGAAGTATTTTGGAACCATTTACCCAGGCTGTTCTAGTGCTGCAGATAATCTGTGTATTTGTGTAAAATACATAAAATATATCGTCATCACCCAATTATTTGTATGAAGCATTCAGAAAACCCAATAGTATGATGACACTGTGAGTTATGACCCAATATAGTCTTTTCTGCTTTCTACCTGTATTTCTTTCTAGATCTTTATTAGGCATCACATTTTGGGTTAGCGTATTTGCCGATAAATCGTATTGCAATATATCGCATACAGAGAGGTGTATTGTGATACATGTTGTATACATATTGGGGCCCAAATTATATATATTTGTACATTTTTAAATGGTTCTTTCCTTAATCAATAATCCAGACTTCAGATTGTGAGGTGGGTAGTATGGCTAACAAGACTACCTTTTAAGTCCTTTTATGACATCAATACAGAATTTTAATGTAAACAGTGTGAAGTGCGTGAAGTGTGTGCTGTTTACATGGTTTAGATAGGAACCTAGTCCATCCAAATGCTTCAAAATTGTAGATATTATTTACATTATAATATTATTTTTTTTTCTGACACTGTATTGAAAAATATTGATACACAAGGGTTGTATTTTGACACATGTACATTTATTGCTGATGGCCAGTTTGCAATATACCGGTGTTCCAGTTATATCGTACACCCCTAATCACGTATACATGATCTCCAGCGCAGTGAATAATGCACAAATGCCATAGGTCTTCTTTATTGTAACTGAGACATGTATAAGGCTGTTGCGAGTATATACGAGATATTGCACACATGTTGGAGCACCCAAAATTTAGAAGTCCCCTGAGAGCATTTCAGCCAGGATTATTTCTGAATAAGCTCTACACTTTCAATTGTTTGATAGGCATTGCTTAGAAGTTGACGGATGACAAGATAGACACAATTTTATGGATAACAACTTCTCTAATACTATGAAAAGTGACGTTTTGGTATAGATCCTTATACCGTTGTCAAGCAAGACTGGAAACCGAATCGCACTTTTCACAGTATTAAAGAAGTTGTTATCCATAAAATTGTGTCTACCTAAGCTCTACACATTGGTATAATGACACCCA